CATCTTCAAAACTGTGGGCCAGAACCTAGTTTCAGGCTGTTGTCCAAAAAAGAACTCCAAACCCCCAAAATCCTCATCCACATGTGCATCACTTTAGGCTTGCAGCAGTCTTGGGACAACTTATTTGGTAATACTGGGCACTCAGCTGGATGAGTCTGAAGTCACTTCACTGCAGGTGAAAGAGATGCTTTTGTTTTACAAAGATCTGACTGAGACTAAAATTCAACCCCCTGTTTAGCATTGCTGTTAAAAGCCACTAACAGTAACTGAAAGGTCTTCAGATATTTTTAGATGTTGTCCCATCCCACACCGCTTATCAAGAACGGTCAACTTTTATTTAAAAGCAAACAAAGTTTTATTCACTATGTCTTGTCCCTTCACAATAAAATTTGTGTTTTTAATGGGTTTGCTCATTCGAAACTGTCTCCCTGTAATAAGCCAGACCATAGGCTTTAAGGTAGCTGTCAGACAGCAGATGTGAGCACAACTAGAGAAATTTTTGCTCCTCAGTGGGCCTACATTGCACTGCCTGGCATCGTGTGTAGATGTTACTGGCAATCACAGCAGCTCAGGAAGCACGGGATGGAGCAGGGAGAGAGGAATGGCTAACTCATAGCAACAGATGGCAACCCTTCTTCACAGCTTAGCCAAAAGTCAGAGGGAAGACATTTTATTTCTCCTTTCATTGCTGGGGCTTTATTTTTAATATGTGTTCCTTCTTAAGTTTCAAACTTAATATTCTTGACTGACCCTGGTCTTCTGCCAGCCTATCTTTAGAAGGAAAATGATCTGAAAAGCTTTCCTCCCCTTTTGCTCATGCTCTGTTTTGGTTTTTTTTTTTTTATTTTTTCAATTATAGTGACTGGCACTTCATGAAATTGTCTTTTGGGGTAGGGTAGCAAAGCAATTTTGTTTATGCAACTGAGATACAGAAGGAAGGTGGAGAAATGAGATGCGAAAAACTTCAATTTCTTTTATTTCACATCACTAAGCTTAGAGTTTACTGGTGTAAAAGGCAACATTGCTCCTTGGATCAAACTCATTGATCAGCTGTGTGATTTTAATATAAAGTCTTTACATACATTATGAAGCCACTGAACCAAATCCTGATAAGGCTCACCCAACCCTTCTCTCTTTTAATGTAGCTAATTTGGAAGTTGCACAATTTACGTGTGTCTTCCATCAAGGTCTTCAGGAACACTGCTTGCTCCGTTCTTCAGAGTTGTCACATTTCATGGGCACAGCAATATCCACTCATTCACATAATCTCCTGTGTGATGGATTATACAGGAGTGTCCTTCTCTGTGCCATATTTAGTGCAGTTCTTGCCTCTGATTAGAGTATGCAAGAGTAGCTCCACCTAAAGCTGTGCAAGCTCGGCAGGGGTTCACGAAGGAACACGGGAACTGCCATCCAGGATCAAACCAGTGGTCCATAAAGACCCAGACCCCATCTAGCACTGACCAGTGCCAGACATTTCTGAAGGAAGCACACAGCTCCACTAATTTAACTCACAGCTAAATTTGGGGTTTTTTTAATCTGAGGCAGTCAAGGAAATCCTGAAAGCTGGAGGTTTACACTCACACCTTTTAATCCTTAGTTGTGTAAAACCTAAGCTCTCACAGGTGCTCATGGGAACAGGCTCTTGCCAGGTACTGGTCACAGTAATGTGTTCCGTTTATAGGTGAAACCACAACTCAAGAAGGGACCCCTTCTTGCAAATATCTAAGTTGGTGATACTTCCCCAGACTAAGGGAGAGAACATCTGATCACCACTGAAAAAGCCAACAAGCTTCAAGACAGAAACCTGTCTGATAGCTGTGACATATTCTCATAGGCTTGTCTCTTTTTCAGTTACATACACACACACACATATACATGTACGAACACACACACATAAATATCCTTTTCCCACTGTAGCTGCTTCAAGCACATGGACCTTTCCATGAGGTCAACACACCAGCCAGGAATCAGAGCCCAGTAGCTGCTGCTATCCATCCTGTCCTGAATGACAGGCAAAATGAGGATAAGCTTGCAGTGCAGGAGCAGGAAAAACAGCTTGCTGGAATATTAGTCTAGGAAAAGAGAAAACCCACTGTGCCACGAGCATGCTAACACACTTAGAGAAAACAACTGCCTCCAAGTGGTGGTTATTGCAAGCCATCAGAACCCCAATTCATTGCAGACGGATAATGCTTTTAGGGTGACTCTCGTGCTCACACATGCTTTGATGGATATGAAATGGAATAAACAGAGCGTCTCAGAAAGCTCTCCTAACCAATTTGCAAGGCAACACAAAGAATGATATTACTGGGTTGTGAAGGCTCTCAAATTTCTGTACTACAGGTTTCAGAGACTAACAGGGAAATGTATTAGGAAAACAAAGGCAGGAAAAAGGAGGAATTTGCAGGACTCTGAGGGGTTACAGATTTACTGTTTGAGCTTGACTGTTGAGAATTCATTTCATATTTGTACAAAGAAAGTATGAGCTAAATCTTAAGTTGCTGGAGACATGTGAGCTGTGATGGTGAGCCTCTCTGCTGCTGCACTGGGTCTATTTAGGGTAGCGCTACAGGGACCACATTCTCGCCTCAGTGGTGGCTCTATATCAAGAAAAAGAGCCTGCCTTCATTTCTGATTATGACATCCATTTTATAGTTTCCTATATGTCCCCTTCCAAACTACATCAACACACGACAGGACTTTTCAACCCATACACATTTACACAGTGCTCATGAAAATAAATATAGGGTCTTACAGGGTTTATTGAACGCAGTCCAGTTACCGCTTGGCCACAAAAGCAAATGTCTGCAGACAGTTCTTACTGTGAACTATCACTCTCTGCTGGAGTGCTGTAAAAGTGCAGCAGCAGATTTAAAAAATAATTATGCTGCACACTAACTTGTGGTACCCATGTGACTCCAATTATATGAAGCAACATCTGTGGCCCATGCAGTCAGAAGAGGCTTTGACTGAGCTGCAGCTCTGCTACAGCAAGTGAAGTATCTGGTAATGCAGTCCTGCAGCAGTAAACCATTATGGCTGGGTGCCACTCACCCCTTTCTGCTCCCCGGCACTTGGGGAAAGGGGGCACGTAACAGGGGAGGACACTATAGTCTGCAGTGTTTAAGTCCTTTTTGGTGACTATTCAGTTCTGAGTGATCTAGATGACACCTGAGGAGCTCCAGTTCAAATGTCCTAGAAGTGGTTGGTTTCCATGAGCATGATGAGCCTGGCATGCTAGAGGGGGGCTGCAAAGCTGCCATAAATCAAACAAGTTGCTGGGGTCTGTGCGCCCCGGAAGCGATTACCACCATGATAGGATGAGCCCTGCTGCCCCATGGCCAAGGCGGCCCTCTCTTTGCTCTCCTCTCCTAGGAAAAGAAATCACTTCTCAAAGTCTTCATTGCAAGTGAGGATTCATACCTTTCCATTCACTTCTGCAGGTGTACTTCAGCACACTTGCTCAGTGTGGCACAGCACAGCTCCAAGTACGTTTTTCCCAATACAGACAGGCTAACTGATCCTTCTATCCCCTGTGTGACCTGCTGAGTAACAGCTATCACAAAGCACACAGAGGAGGCTTTATGACACTTGAAGAAAATAATTCAGACTAGCATGTGACATTGGCTGTCCACAGTCAGCTGCATGAAGAAGGAGGCAAGGATTCCCTCTGTAACTGGCTGGAAAGAAAATAATTGCACACATAGCTCCTCCTACGAATGAAATAATTTTTTTTTTGACTAATCAGATATTTTTAAAAGGAGATTTGGAAGCAAGTTGAATAACAGGGGATGCTCTCTGATTTTATTTTTTCCCTTCTGCGGAAAGACTTATTTTTCAATGCTGTTTATAAGTGTCTTTAAAACACAGCCAAAAGTAATAGGAATACAATCAATACTAGATATGAACAGAGACACTTTTTCTGTAGCTGCAATTAGCTATTTTCAAAGAGCAGGCGATGAATAATGTATGTAAAAGGATGGGTGGAAGGGTTACTTTCTTTTTCTTTAAGCAGATTATTTTAGCATGGGTGAAAGACTACCAAGCTAAAGAACAGTGTTCAATATCACGCAGTGTATAAACAGCTGTGGCTTAGCACATAATAAAAGCCATTAAGGGGCTGAGCCAAAAAATGTATCTAGCTATGAGGAGTGGAAAGAGGCAAAGTATCATGTAATGATTGCTTAGATTCATATTTGCCATTCAGCATTTGCACACGTGAGACCGTTCTGCAGACTAAGATCTCACCTTTCTCTTCATTATGTTTTCTTAAACTGCTTCAAATGGTACCTTGGCCTTTTTGGAAACTCTTTTTTTATGCCAAGGCTGCCAGATCCCTGAGTAGACATTAAGATCTAGAATATGAATTGGCCACACATGCAGATAACAGATGAGAACAACAGGGGTCGTTCCAATATTGGCTCTGGGTGACCCTTGGCGTGGAGTGCCTGGGGCTAAGCAGGACTTGCTTACTTCCACCTTGGAGCAAGGAGGGGTGGAGGACACCAAAAGCTTTGGCTCCATCCTCTTCACTGCATGGACTAGCCAAGCCCACAAAGGGTAAAGTAAAAATTCATCTGCATTATAATAAGAGAGAATATTGTCCAAGCCAGGTGCTCAGGCACCCGTCTCTCTGCCATGCTGATTTGTCATCTTGCTCCTCTACTTCGTTTTCCTTTACAGCACAGGTCTTCGTTAAGAAGTTACCTCACACCTTCCGTGCTGCACCAAACTCACGCCGGCACATTTTCCTTGCTTTTGGCTATGATTCAGCATCCCCCCAGCCTGAGGTCTTGCTGCAGAATGCAACTCTTGGTTAGAAAAGCAAAAGTCTGAGCTGGTTTTGTGGCAAAGTTTATCCTCAGCTTTGCTCGTGTTTACCTCCAAGTCACCAAATAGCTTCAACACAGCAGGCTTTGCATAAGCATATTATCATCGGTCTCTTTAGTTACTACATTTTTCTCCTCTGCTAATGCACAAGCAAATAAAGGAGTCTTTTACCTCATGTTCTCCTTCCTGTGAACTGTCACATACATTTCATAGACTCTCCCTTGTGGAACGGCCCCCGCTGGGATCAGCAAGCTTATTCCTGCAGAACAGAAGAGACACAAAAGATAAAATGGAGAAAAAAAGGCAAAAGTACCTGTGAAAGGGAGTAACAGGAGAGGCAGAAGATGAAGTCTGCAATGCCAGATTTTCACCCAGCCTCACCAGCAGACTCTAAAATGGCCTCAGCAACTCGGGAGAAAAAGTATTCACTGCTACTCTGGTGTCTCCAGCAATCAGCTGGCCTGTTTTTATTCCTCTTGTGCATCAGCACTGAAATACAGGAGTGGAGATGAGGATTTTTTTTCCCTTTTATTTTATTTAAAGAGCAGACAGATGGTTACGCTGCTGCTTACCTTGTAAAATGATGGAAAAATGAACAACTCTGACTAAAATATCCAACAGCTGTAACGGGACATCTCTCCCTAGGCAATTCTTACTTAATTAAAATCAGGAAAGCAAGGCAGTGGAGCACTGTCCCAGGAAGCAACAAGAACTAGTTGTTTTCTGAAAGATGGCTTCTGCAACTGATATCCTGTCTTTTAATGCACTCAGCTTCTAATTAGACTACCAGGGAGACAAAATTGGGCTTCTTGGTATTTCGAATGTGCCTAGTCCTGTAAAGTGGCTCAAAATTTGGATATCCAACCTTGAAAAAAATATGGGCAAAAAGATGCTTGGTGCCCTTTTCAGCAGTGATTAGCTGCACATCTGATTACAAAACACTGTTCTTACATTACTGCCAATTCAGAAATGCCCTGTCATTATATGACATTATAAGACAAACATGGCACACAAACCAGCTATTTCACTCTGCTAGACAAGTTTCAGCCAGCTGTCTTTGCAGACGTGGATTAGCTGGGTATCAGTGGCAAAGATTTTAATACAGTTACTACTACACAGCTGAAAACAAAACTACAGGCAGATTATTTACATATATACATATGCACAAGGGAGGCTTCATAGAAACTTTACACAGCCTTGTCTCTCCTCTTTAGCATACGTGGTTTGCTTATGCTGGTGACCTCCCATGTGTTGGCATACTGGTGTTCAGTCCCATCCCTGGCTTTGAAGGGGAGGGATTAGCTAGGAAAGTATTTTCCACAAATGCCTTCTGACACTTGTTTCTTTACAAGCCTGTTACAACCTCACCTGTGCATGTTCTCAGCTGTAACAGGGCAGGCATAGTGTAAATGAAAGGCTCTGATCATATCACTGGGAGGATGTACATACATCTAGAAGCAGCATGGAGGCATAAATAGTAGTGGTAGACAAATTGATATATTTTAGAAACCTTATTTTAATAATTTTGAAGGGATTACAGCAATAAATAACCTTTTTTTCTCCCCTACAAATTGATATTAATGTATGTGAATTAAATGTGACTAATAGACTTTGCTGACAACATGCACCACTGTGGCATAAGAAATCTGAGTATTAATATTTACTTTCAGCTGCTACTTAGACAAATATGAAATCCAGGATTGTATAGCATGAATTTTCAACATTGCTTAGCAGTCAGAACAAGATTTCTTTAAGTAGTTCAGCTTTTACTTAAAATTAATAGCTATTTTTGCCCCCTGTTCCACAATAGCTCAGAGAGGAGGACTACTGCTCACCGACCACTTTTGGCTTCTTCCTGGGCAGTGTGGGGCTGCATCCTGGAAGACCAAACCACCTAGGTCCTGGCCCACCTAGGCATTTTGCTTTCTCCACAACATCAACAAACAAGAAAAGATCCAGCAAAGGAGCAGGAGACAAGGGTAGACACTATCTCCTCAGTCCAGGCACTGTGCTGTAAAATGGTAAAGGGATGACCACAAGATGTAAAGGAGGAAGGCAGAAATGCTGTGAAACTTTGAGCTATCATGTCAGGTAGTTGTAAGCTGTGGTCCCACACGTGCTGTGGTCCCACATGTACTGTGGTCCTACCTGGACTCAGAACTCCAGAGAAACAGGGAAGGGGGGCTCCTGACCACTGTGTAGACTGCATATCCCCCACATCCACTGTTTTATGCACTTGATTCAATTCCACTTTAGATGTTAATGTTGCTCTTCATCAGCATGCCAAACCCATGTGAACATACACATGCCAAACTTCCTTTGAATGTCAACACTTCATTTAGGAACCAAACAGCACTATGGCTCTCCTAAAAAATCCAGCTGTGAGAGTGGAGCTCTCCCAAGGCTGCCCAGGAGCTCCCTGGATGCACCGAAACTGCCTCCTGGGGCTGGATGCTCAGTCCCTTTCTTTCCTATTTGTAAAATAAGTCAACAATACATTAACGAGGAAATATGGAAAAGACACTCTTGGGCCTTATTTTCCTTTGGTGCGTAATGTGTGCAGGAAAAAAGCCTTCCAAAAATTAGGATTCTGCTGTCCTACTTCAATACCACACAGTCTGCAATGAATTGGAAGTGTAACAACTGATTTGTTTTTTAATTAATTTGTCCTTTTTATGTGTGATGACAAGATTGAGGCTTTCCAGCTTGGAGTCCCCTTTCTGGAGCTGCATGAAAGCAAAAGGTCAAGGATGATGAATCTCATTTCACACAGGGAAGATCTGAAGTCTCACAAGTCTCAGAAAGTGGCTAAGAGCCCTGCAATATCTGTTAAAAAAGTGGCCAGGACTTTGGAAAAAGAATACTTGAAGTACCTTGGTAGACCCGAATGGGGGGAAAAAACCCTATCTTTTTGTTCTGAACAAAGAAAACGCAGAGTCCAGGGGTGACCTTGCTTTTCCCTGCATAAAAGCAAATGAACTCCACTTAAAACCGCAAAAGAACTGAGCCTTTAAGCCAGCATGACTAGCACTTACCTGAATTGGGAATTACCAGGTGACCTCCTAAGGAGTTGAAGGTCCCAAATGCAGTGCATGATGGGTCAGTTTGCCGAGCAAGGCTCTGGTTCTTTATGTTCAGGGTCTCGTTCTCCAGCAGAGACTGTGTAATCTGTGGGGACAGCTTGGAGGAGAAGTCAGAGAGGTCATCCTGGGGGGTGACTGCGCCAGAGGTGTTATAAACCTTGATCTTCAGGTTGGGCAGCGGGTCCAGGATTGGAGAATTGGTCATTGGGATTTTATCAGAAACGTCATGCAAGGCGTAAACAGGACCCCTGTACATGGCTGCAGCAGAAGTGAGGTCTGGTGGTACTGCCAGGAGGTCTGCATTGGAGATAAGAAGGAAGAACCATACTACTTCTCTATTTTCATGGCTTCTGGGTAACAAGTTGGGTTTGCATTCTGCATTTTGCCTTTCATACCAAAGGTTAAGATACGCAAAGTCCTTACAGACTGACCTTCAGTCTCCTTTTCTATGCATCTCTCCAGCAAACTCCCAGGGCTTGTATTGCCCCAGCTGCTATGGAATCTAATTGTCATACAAAATCACAGCTTGTTCCTGCTCTAAAAGTTTTTCACTGCGATTATTTTTCCAGGTTGCATCAGATTTCAATGACATGCTTAGCTTCACGGGAAGATGTTTTCTTACCCAGTAGATCTAGTTTTATTAACTGATACCCCCTCCCTAAATGCTAAGTGACAATTATTAACCAATTTATCTAACTTGCCTAATGATGGCATTCCTTAAATAAAAAACAGAACAAACCTATGAAGTCATCATGCCCACGACTCCCCGCAGTGGGGGATTAGTACCTGCATTACACTTTTTGGACATTTGTTTTGAAAGTCTCTCCAGCGAAGAAAATGACACTTCTGCTAATCTTCCACAAGACAACTCTCTTGCCATCTTAACTCTTACTTTGATTTCTTCTTCTGGCACATATATTGGGAAAAAAGAGGAACTCTTCAGGCTAAATATGGATCTTGAAAAAGCCAGAAGTACCTTTAGAGTGGTTTTTTTTCTGGCCAATGAAGTGTGGAAATAATCAATCTGTTATGCACCAGCGATAAAAATGCCCATTATTAAATGATGTTCTACTGCAACTTGTTCTTCTACATTGAAAGTACAGTACTTCTCAAACTACTGTTTATGCCTGTGGAGACAGGGCACAGTAAAAAAGGCTATTAGTGAAACAAATGAGAGGAAGATGTGATAGAATTACTGTACTGTAATATCACTCCTGTGATGAATCCTGCCTCTGTTGTTTCTGTCAGAGCTTTGTCTTTGATTTAAATTCGAGCTGGACCTGTATTTCTGTAAATTTTTCTGTTTTTCACTCTCGCATTCATGCTCTCTCTTCTGAAGTGAAATTCCACTGCTTTATGCTCTCAAGCACATCTGAAAAATGCCAGTGTGGGTTTTGAGCACTTGACTATCAGAAACAAGTGGCTATGATTTGCTAACAAGCATCCAGCGAGCATCATTCACGAAGCCCAAGAGACCATAACCTTATACCACCCCCCTGAAGTGGTCAACATGGAGTGAAATCACAACTAACCTTGCCTTGCAGCCTTGATGTTAACAGGCTGAAATCCCCCATTTAGCGCCGAGGAGTCGATAATATCTGACTCGAAGTCACGGTGGTTCTTGCGATAGACAAACAGGGCCACAACCACGGAAATAGCCAGGCACACAATCACAGCTATGACGATCCCAACATAGAGAGCAACATCATCTGAGTCAGGAGCAGCTAGAGGCAGAGAGACCAGGAACCTTGAAGAAATGTGCTCTTCACAGGGACTTTCAAGAAAACACATTCTTATTATTCTTGTTTCCTGCAGATATTTACTACCTTTTTATAGGTTCATTTAAAATCCATTTCCAAAGCTATATAACAGGCTTATGCTCTTTTGATGTAAAATGATTTTTTTATTTCTCTCTAACTTGTGTTCTAACTTTTTCCCTATCTACCTGTTCATCTATCTAGTACGCAGGCTGGGAATACTACGCATAACACAGATTATAGGCTTAGTCTCAAGAAGTAAATTCTCTCTAGGAAATAAAATAGTATGTCTTAGTGACACAGTGTCATAATATTGGTACATAACAATTTGTGGGTTTTTAAACTTCAGAAGCCTTGTTCGTTAATTAAAAAAAAAATGTCAAAAACCCCCAAAAGTCCATTTTCTATGGAATACCTAGAATATCAGGATGTATCTTTGAGTTTGCTTTTTTTGCACTATAATGTGTCAAGCTAGTTTTCCTTTCCATCTATTTCCCTTCCATCTATTTCCTTTTAAAAAAAATTATATAGTAAAGCACAGAACCAAATACTGAATTCTCATCACTGGCATTAACACATTTGTATTTGGATAAAAGCCGAAGCAAGCGTAAGAAATAATGCGGTAATTTACAAAAAGGAACTCAGATTTATTAGAGCTGTCTTGTGAGAAAATAGCTATGATATTTCTACTAGCTTCTTATACCATATCTTCAGCACTAATTCCAGGCTAATCTCTAGCATCATTATCCACTAGACGTTTTTTTCCGAAAGGTCTGAATATATGACCAAGATTTGATATGTTTCTATACTGTGAAGAATCCCAGTTTTAGAGATAGCATAATGAAAAAAAGAAAGTGCAAAAACAAATCAGACTTTTTAGTACCCCATTTTTGTTAGTTTGAAACATGTGAAATCATTTTTATTTTATTTTATTTTCTGCCTGCATCTTTGCCATTTAAGCCAAGCTTCCCTCCAGCTGCAGAGGTGAGACTTGGCAGATGTTGAAAAGGACTGATACACCTCCATAAGCTCCTGGCTATCAGACCTTCAACCTACTGGCCTTGAAATGTCACTTTTTTTTTTTTCCCCAGCAGTTCAGGAAGCAGTTCTCTGCATTCCAGCTCAAAGAAAAGTTATCCCTCCACTACATTTCTTCTGTTTGTTAAGGAAATTTTAATGAGAAGCAGGTTCGTTCTCTCCAGTTTCTGTCTCTGAAGCAGCATCTTCTTCCATATTCCTCATACATAAGGGCCGTTATGATTCTGTGTCAACCCGCTGACAGAAAAACACTGCGACTGCTGTCAAGTAAGCAGCATGCCACTGAATAGGTCCCTCTTTGCCTAGTCACACAGAGCTGGTCTAACAGTAAAGCTTGACCCAAGGAACAGCATCAAATTAGCACCAAGGAACATAAAATCAAACATTAAACTTACAAGAAAATCCATATTCATTCTGGGTTCTCTGTTCAGTTGAAATAGGATAAATGAAACCTTAAAAAGAAAGAAATTAAACAAAAATGGGAACAAAATCAAATTAATGATGAGAACAAAAAAGGAAAGCATGAAAAATGGTTTAATTAAAAAAAAAAGAAGGAAAGGAAACTGATGGCACTTTAAAATTCTAATACAGCACAGAATTATGATTTCGCATCCCCTGTCTCCTCCAGAGCCTTACTAAGAATTAATAAGCAGGCAGATTGAATTTCTAAGCCAAAAATCGGTCTCGAGTCACTAACTTTGGAGTGCTTAAAGTCTTTCTTTTATTGAGCATAAACTCTAATGGATCTAATTTATTTCAGACATCAAGAGTCATTAGCATATGGAAAGTCTTTTTTCCTTATCCTTGCCATATGCTTTAATTCCCAGGACATGTTTGGTGAGGCTCTAAACAGTTTTTTTATTTAATTATAGTAGGTTGCTGTTGATCTAATAGAGCTAAAGGAGACCTGTCGTCACTGGTCAGAGGTTAAATACCCATTCACTGAGCACAGTCCGTGCACAAAGCCTCTCTCTCTGTATTTCCTTGGAATTATTTTTTCCTGTCTTTAATACATGTCCAGTAGGAATTCCTCAGGGAGCAAAGAATTTGTCAGCAAACGGGAAACTGAGTGGCTTCTCTTCAAAAAGACTACAAAATCAATAAGGCCCCTGGGGTCACATTATTTATTTGAAATCTTTTCAAGCACTGTATATCGACAAAATCATAACACAATTTACAGCTATATTTTGGAATGGATAAATAAGAGAGATCGTTTCCTTGGTCTTTTCTTTCTGCAACTCCTACAGCATGGCACACTGGAACTGCTTAGTCCACACTAACTAGCTAAGTACCTCCCATCCGCTTTCCACCCACATGGAAAACAAGCAAAATGCTCCAAGTCTGGTCCTGCTGGAAAGGTAAATGACAAATGCAAAGGAAGCAGGGGAGTCACTGTCAGGGACAGGATTAGAGTCAGTGTAAGACCGAAGGTATCCCTCCTCCATCACCTTCCCTTTCAGTGCTTTTGAAGGGAATTTCACCCCCTCTCCTTGGATTGCACTGCAAGGAGCTTGCACAGCCAGGGACTTCCTGCAGGTGAAACGGAACTGGAAAATGCACTCCTGGTGTGTGTCTAATGCACAGGACCACGTTACGAGCTGACCACAGTAATAATCCTGAGCTCCCAGAAATGCTGAATTTGGGTGCTCAGCATCTGTTGTGCTTGACATAGCTCTTCCTGCTAGGCTGCACTGCTTGCTAATGAAGATACAGTCTATCCCAATCGCATGCTTACACATACTTCTCCCTGAAGCTTCCAGACATTAACTATCATGTAAATGCTACCTTAACCAAAATACCAGATGTACTAGGTTTGTGTGGCAAGGTTTTGGTAGCAGCGGGGGCAGGAGGGGGGGTGGGATGGGGTGTTATAGGGGTGGCTTCTGTGAGAAGCTGCTAGAGGCTTCTCCTGTGTCCGACAGAGCCAATGCCAGCTGGCTCTATAGACGGAGCCACCATTGGCCAAGGCCGAGCCCATCAGCAAAGGTGGTAGTGCTTCTGTGATAACATATTTAAGAAGGGGGAAAAAAACCCAATCCAACCAACGGTGCAGGAGCAATTGCAGCTGGAGAGAGGAGTGAGAATATGTGAGAGAAAACAACTCTGCAGACACCAAGGTCAGTGAAGAAGGAGGGGGAGAAGGTGCTCCCCAGGCATCAGGTCAGAGAACCCCCTGCAGCCCCTGGGGAAGATCATGGTGAGGCAGGCTGTGCCCCTGCAGCTCACAGAGGTCCACGGTGGAGCACATCTACCTGCAGCCCATGGAGGACCCATGTTGGAGCAGGTGGATGCCCAAAGAAGGCTGTGAACCTGTGGGAAGCCCACACTTCTTGCTGTTTCTGTGAAGAAACCCACCCCTGGCAGGACCTGTGGACCCGAGGAGAGAGTAGATCATGCTGGAGCAGGTTTGCTGGCAGGACTTGTGACCCCATGGGGGGCCCACGCTGGAGCAATCTGTTCCTGAAGGACTACACCCCATGGAAGGGACCCACGCTGGAGCAGTTCGTGAAGAACTGCAAGCTATGGGAAGCATCTCATTGGAGAAGTTCATGGAGGACTGTCTCCCAAGGGAGGGACCTCATGTTGGAGCAGGGAAAGAATGTGAGGAGACCTCCCCCTGAGGAGGAAGGAGTGGTAGAGACAATGTGTGATGAACTGACCGCAACCCCCGCTCCCCGTCCCCCTGCACCACTCGGGGGGAGGAGGCAGAGAAATTAGGATTAAACCCAGGAAGAAGGGAGACGTGGGGGGAAGGTGTTTTAAGATTTGGTTTTATTCCTCATTACTCTTCTCTGATTTGATTGGTAATAAATTAAATTAATTTTCCCCTAAGTTGAGTCTGTTTTGCCTGTGATGGTAACTGGTGGATGATCTCTTACTGCCTTTATCTCATCCCACAGGCTTTTCATTGCATTTTCTTTCCCCTGTCCAGCTGAGGACTCATAGAGTGGCTTTGGTGGGCACCTGGTGTCCAGCCAAGGTCAACCCACCACACCAAAGCAAGAAGAGCTGCTTTTTGATGATGATGGTTTTTTTTTCTGAGGCATCATGGGACAGACTACATTGCCTGAAATATCTATTTAAAACTTTAATTCACAGCAATGATTCCAGCCTTATAATTGCTTTTAGAAATACTACGTTCTTACATTCATTTATTTGGTTCTTTGAGGCAAGTTCACCTATGTGTACTCTCAACATGCATACTCAGTTTTTTTATTATAACTGCTTCCTACTTCTACTGGTGTACTCCAGGTATTGGCCATAAAAAGTAAGGTGAGCAATTTTTGAGGGCTTGAGTGAGTGCTCAGCAAATCTGGGCATGAATTTACAGTACCCTAGTTGCTCCCTGCTTACTCCCCAGATGAATGTTGAGGCCCGTATTTAGTCAACCTCAACTTCAGCTATAGCCTTATGCCCAGAATTTCCTTGGGCATAATTTCTCTGGAGACCAAGAGGCAGCCAGCACGAAATACAAGGCATGAGGACAAGTTGGAATTTAAGCCAGCTGTGACTCCAAACACCTTTTTGCTATGTACTCAAATCCACTGGGAAAGCTGAGGATGTCTCTCTGCACTTCGGTGCTCCAGCATGTTCTTGGGGGAGCTGGCATGGGGCAGCACACGTTCCCCAGCTCTGCATCACCCACAGAGCTCGAGCTCACCTGTGCAGAGCTGGAAAGGCTATTCCTCTCTCCTTACATTGCATTTCAGCTGGCAAGTTTCACATTCAAGGTTACGCATCATTCCTGCCACATCTGAAGTGATCTAGCAACTGCCAGTCAACAGGCACAAAGGACTGGATTAGCTGTAATATTACTGAAAGCATTCTTTCTTCCTGGGAAAATGGAAATCCAAATTCAAGTCGTTTCAGCCCAGTAAAAAAGTGCAGTCCTCAAATACTCTAAAAGCAATTTACCTCATTGCAACCTCTTCACAGAGCCTGTTTGACACAAATACTTATTTGCGTTTTACAAGTTTGCATAGATTCTCTTACTGATAACTATGGAGAGCACCACTGCAGCTACATAAGAGTGATACCAATTTCTTCAACAGAGATGTTTTGTGTATGTATTCAAAGACACATCTACTAAAATAGGAGGATGCGGTGAGGATACTGCTTGCTGCTTCCATTAGCCTCACAAATGTGAGGACACATTTTCAGACTGAAAAACATGTGCTTTTCATACAGAAGGAAGGCATGGCCAAGGTGGAGGGGTTAAGGGCTGCTGTGTGAGATGAGATGCCATGGGCATGCCAATTTTTTTGCTGAGGGCCAAGAATCACACCTGACCAACCTGGCTGTAGATGGATAGGTGGCCACTCACGCTGGATGTAAAGTTCTTGTTGAGGTGACAGCACTACACCAGGTATGCTGTGGTGGTCATCCAACCCTGTTTGCTCACAGTATGTGGGCAAGCTTCCCTGGCTGAAGCTAGCAGAGACCTTACCTTGGGTTGATTTCTATCATCCTAGCCAAGCTGGCAACCCCAGCCATTCTCTGGTCAAACACCAGCTTGCAAATTTTGCACTTGCAAATTAAGCACATTTGTCAGAGATCATTCAAACATGGCAACCACGGATGCCTTCCGCCATTTGGGCAAGACATTTTAGAAGAAAATTACTTTTAAACACTCCTTTGTCATGAAAGAGCTCTTCCAAAAGGCAGTGGGCATTGCAGTGGCAGCAGTAAGGGGACGGCTTGCAGCCATGCGCTGGGGATGGTGGCTGGGCAGGAGGTAGGGTTATTGCCATGCTCCCAGCACAAGAGCACAGGTATTGCTTTAGAAAGTTGGCTTTCACACTGGTCTCTCTGACTATGCCTTCAAACAATGAGAAAGGACATTTTCACCAGATAATGATGCAAACCTGCTGGGATTAGTAATTGAAATAATGAAGAACGATTTCCCTTCTCTCTTCAAAGTAACTGCAGTGAAAAGAGATCCTTTTCTTGTGGAGTTTTTTTTCCCCTCTTTCTATCAACAGCACTGCTTGGTAAGTACCTGAGGGACTTCTACCAGGATCATCAAAATTTTTAACGAGGGTGAGCTTAGAAAAGTACTGGTGGGTTTGACTCTGGGAAGGCTGCTGACTCACACACAGAACAGCTGGTTTCAGTGAGCTACTTGCTTTGAGAAAATTAATTTAAGCTTCTTCCTCCAGCTTGTTGAGAAATGTACATTTTCAAAGGGGCTTTTGATGTTTTGTTGTGTAACTCACTGCTGGATAAGTAAAATAGTAACAATCACACTTTACACTTGCGTAGTCCCTCCTGTTTGAGGTTCCTGGAGTCTTACGAGAAGTGGGTATTTATTTCCTGCATTTTACAAGTACCTCACCCTATGCCATACCTGGGGAATTAGTGGGAGGCTTGGGTTAACACACAGAAATTGCACCACTGTAACTGCATACTAAACACATTCATTAAGAAGCTTTTAATTAAGTTGATGTTTCTC